AACCTCTGAGCCATCTCTCCAGCCGCCCAGGTGGTTAAAAAGAAATTCCTGAGTCAGGCGGTGATGGTGCACACCTTTAATCCCAGCACTCAGGAGGCAGAGGCAGGCGGATCTCTGTGAGTTCAAGGCCAGCCTGGGCTACAGAGTGAGTCCCAAGAAAGGTGCAAAGCTACAGAGAGAAACTCTGCCTCGAAAAACCAAAACAACAACAACAACAAAAAAGTTCCTGTTCACTGAGTTAAAATTCTGTTTTCAAGGGCTCAAACTCAGATCTTCTGGTTCCATAAGGAAAACAGATTTGTTTGGAGGCTGAGATTAAACAGGTCTTGGTAGAGGAATGCTTTTCATACTCAAGGTCAAAAGAACTGAGGCAAGCAGCCAAAATGTCTGAGCCCTGATCTCTTTAGCCGTCCCGGGGGTGAAGGCTAGCTTATCTTGAAAGTCCCTTGCAGGTCTGAGAAGTCAGAGCTTGACTCAGTGGAGGCTGTACAAGAGGAGAAGAGAAGGAGCCAGTGACTCACACCTCGACAGGTTTCCAGACTTGTGAAGTGCTGGCACTGTCGGCACTCCAAGAGTCAGAGAAGGAAGCAGGCGTTCTCTCTGTCTAGCTTGCCTCGCTTGTTTCAATACTTGCTTTCCTGTAGGAGACATGAAGATGCTTGGTCTTAGCAATTGGAATGTTCCTAGGTGGCTAACGAGGAAGGGGTTAACCCTGGAGAGGTGGTCAGGGTTGGAAATACAGCTGGAAACTCATCAGCCTAAGAGGTGCTCTGAACCCGCAGACGCTGGTGAGCACCCAGAAGTTGTAAAAGAACACTGGGGAACGCTGGGACTAAGTGGGAGAAGGAAATTGGTACACACTAGAAAGGCCCGAGTCACAGGAACAGAAGCTGTTCCGAGAAAGTAAGTGTGGTGGTCTAGAGTCAAGTACATGGAAGTAAGGACAAGTCAGATTCACTCTGACCCCACCTGCAGGGTCAGAGGTGTCACCCTGTGGGGCGCTGTGGGAGCAGCGTGCTGTGTTTGGACAGGAAGGGCCACCTCAAGGGGCCCTTGGATTCCCAGGCTGGGCCTGGGCTGGTGCTGCTGTCTGGGAGTTCTCAAAACGTTAGCAGGGAGGATCTAGCTGGAAGAAGTAAGTCACTGTGT